GCCCTTCATATTACACAAAATCAGAACACATCGGTCAGTAAATTACATTCATTTGCACCTACTTGGAGTTTCTGTGATTGTTTTTGGAGACAGTTTTGTATCAGGATCATATTTATACCTTCTTATGTGACTGTGATGTATCAGGTTGTCAGTAAAATCATTACTTTTGCATTTTCTTTGCCTAGGCAATTCTGTATCAGGAGAACAGAATGGATGAAACCTTTGTAAAAAGTTCCATTTACATTTGTTTGCCTTACTATGGTCCTTATATCAGGTAACCATGCGCGAGATCCTAAATATACATTTTTGATTCAATATTTTGTTGTATTATGGCATTTAAACACTCTCTTCGAAGAAAAGTATAGCTTTTGTCGTTTGTGTTACCTTGTTCTAGCATTTTTTTCGCAGAGAATCTTGTAGCAAGCGATAATTTAGTGATTGTTTTTTTTGTGGTCTCTAAATACTGTATTTGAAAAAAATCCTATTTATATCTTCTTCTGCTCCTGTTACCCTGATTTTACTTAGAGAGAAATTTGTATCAGGTCAGGGGCTAGAGGGTGTTAGTCGGTAAGTGATGTTAATTTGGCGCCTGCTTGCGTTTCTGTGACCCTTGGATTTTGAAAAAAAATTGTATCAGGGCAACATAATGTGTAAATTATTTAGATTCATTTCGGGATTCTAATTCAATCATTCTTTACCACGGCAGCAGTAAAAAAAGTTCTTGTGATCCTGATCCAATATTTCTTAACGAAACTGTTGTATCAGGTAAAGGTAAGCAGCTAGAAAATTTCAAATAGCAACTGTGCTTGAATTTCTGTGAGCCTAATTTTGTTTAATGTCAGGCGAACATAAGGGTTTAAAAGATATAGGTCACTACATTATACTAGTTTGCTAGTTTTTGTCATCCTTGGTGAGTGTTTTTTTAAATTGTGTATCAGGAGAACATAACGGGTGAAATGTTCCAATTTACAGCTTTTGTGTGTTCCTGCAAACCTATCAGGTAAAGGGGTTCAGTTAATAGTTGATATCTTCGTTTTCCCTGAATATTATTTTTTGGATAAAATTTGTTATCAGGGCAAGATGTTTGTAAAAAAATCCCAATTGATAAATGCTTGAGTTTCTGTGACCCTGATACAATATTTCTGTAAAGAAAATGATGTACTACGTTGACATAAAGTGTCAAAAAATGCAATGAGAAAGAATTTCCATGCATTCTTTCGTTCCTGTTATCCTGATTTTTTACAGAAAGCGTTGTATCAGGTAAACATAAAGTAGGCAATCAATGATATCAATTCTGTTTAACCTTTCTCTACTCTTAATTATGTTTGGGTCCATATCAGGAGAGCATAACAAATGTGATTATTGGCAACAAAATTAGATACTAACATAAAGCATCGAAGGGCGGTAAAAGCAATTAAGATTGACCCAAATTCCATCACAATGGATCTCAGGATTTCCCTTAAAGAATGCGTGCACGCAATCGATTTTATAGGAAATTCTTTCGAGTATTGTACATCCTTCTGTACGCAACAATGACGCATAATTCTCATACGGTTATTATTTTCGTCAATTTCATTTCTCACGCAATTAATTGTGGCCTTATAAGGAGATGACATGGCCTTCGTTTGTGTCAAAGGAAGTGAAGTCTGTTTTTGTAAGATCTCGTCACACTTATCGACGGGGATTCCTACCCTTTGCCATTCGTGTCGAAACTTTCTGATCAACCCTCAAAAACGTCGGAGCTGGATCTTGTGACGGCTATTGAGGTAATTACGAACGACTGGCGCGTGTAATGCGGACAAATTGTCTATAATTACGATAAGAATGGAATCGACCTTCGCGTGCTAAGGTGGGGGCCATGTTTTAATTTTTTTTTTCGCGGTCGACATTTTTTCGGTGTAGTTAACTATGCACTTGGTATGGATGAGTGTCTTTAGCCTTGGATTTACGATTTGTGCAACGTATGCGGTTATAAAAGGGTAGGTGTTCCGGCAATCATCCTCATCGCGCTTACTTCCCTGGCCATGCACCGTCACGCACGTTCTCCTTTTGCCAAACTTTCAAAGGCAAGGGCACGAACTGCATTCGAATTAATCGCACATTAACCTTGGTCGCCAAATCGTTAAATTTACGACGGCCGTTTTTATGACGCTCTCGCATAACGACATTTTCGGTCTTAAGCATATATTTTTGGCATAGTCTACTCTTTGTGTATCTACTGCTACCACTGAGGAATATACTTGCATATTTGCAAGAATAGACCGAGAATATCCATTTTAGTAGAGTAGCAATCTTAGTTTGATTGCCGTTTCAAGCACTGCACTGCATATATCCGCACAATTGCAGAATACACTGCTGAAAGCATATTATATATATATATATATATATATATATATATATATATATATATATATATATATATATATATATAATGCATGGAATATCCCAGAATGTGCATGTGAAGTGCATTATATTCTATGATCTATAATCAGGTTTTTCTACAAAGCATTTTTTGTTCACTGTCGGCCTTCGCACTTAAAAACGCTTGAACTCTCACAATACGGAATATTTCCGGAATATACTTCTTTAATCAGAAATTCTGATACTTTTATTGGTAGCATAATTAATAGTTGCAGCAAGTATCTGACATACGTTTACTATGCTCAAACTGTTTTTGGAATATCCCGGTTTTTTGAGAACATCTAGCTGCTTTGCATTTTTTACTAGTGACAAAAAAAGAATATTCCAGTGAACGGTATCCCCAATCACATAGTAAGTGTTTTCTTGCATAAAGCAAAAAGGTTTACTAGCCTGATGAGTTCTAGGTTGTAGTTATGAGTACTTACACACACAACGTGGAATAATTGCAGAATATAATTTATAAAAGCAATTATTTTCTAGCATTCTTATTGGAATAATCAAAATTGAAATTCTGAAGAATATCTTAACGTATTTCATAGATTGAACAGATATTTTGATAATTGAAATATTCTCAGTTATTTTTGGGTACGGTATATTCAAAGCATATTTTATTATTTGGCGGAACATTGTTCTACTATTCGCTAGAAAACATTCTTGTATTTCAGCATACTTTATAGTTTCAGAATCATGCGTATATTTGTGTAACATTCAGTGGTATATTCAAAATATGTATTTCTTTCAACATTTTTGTATTAACCACAGAAAAAGAAAATATATTCCTCTGTGCGTCTATTTGAGTATGTTCTTACCACGTTATCATTGTTTTGAAGTACATATATTCCATTTTATATTTAGAAAATATTTATTATTTGGTGATACATTGTTGTAAGTACCCTTGACGCATCGTCATCTCAAAAGATATTCTTATTATATTCCGATGGAATTGGTATATTCCGTATCGTATTCAGAGAGTGTACTTTCTTTGGAAGTAGAATCGGCAGAGGGATCCTTTAAACGTATCTATTGGTGTGGACTTTCTTATCTGTCACGCCGAAAAACCAAGAATATTCTTGGGATATTCCACTGGTTGATTTCTGTAACCTCATATTTGTAATGTAATTCTCCATTTTTGGGGTTCGTTGAGATTTGCTTTAATATGTAAAAAAGAAACCCGAAATCGATCGCTTTAGAAACAATAAACAATTGTGGTTCTTTTTTACATATTAAAGCAATTCTGTAACCTCACTCTAATTTCCCTCGTTACCTTCAATTCAAAGGGCTGTAACTTTTGATCTAGTAGCCCGATCTTGGAACTGTTTGAAATTGTGGATTCTACAGGTCACATTCTATAAGAAAATATTTTTTTCCGGTCAATCTGAGACAATTTTTTTTTTCGGGCCAAAAAAAAGGCAGTGTATAACCTTCCTTTTTTACCAAAAATCGACTGCACCAAAATTTCTCGGGAGAAAACTTTTTCGTATTAATTTAGGTGCGTAGAATCCAAAACGAGTCGTACTTTTTCGATTAGACGTCTCAATCAAAAGTTATGGGCAAAAAAACAATTTCGACAAAAAACTCAAAGGGCTGTAACTTTTGATCTAGTAGCCCGATCTTGGAACTGTTTGAAATTATGGATTCTATAGGTCACATTCTATCAGAAAATATTTTTTTCTGGTCGATCTGAGATATTTTTTTTTCGGGCCAAAAAAAAGGCAGTGTATAACCTTCTTTTTTTTTACCAAAAATCGACTGCACCAAAATTTCTTGGGAAAACACTTTTTCGTATTAATTTTGGTGCGTAGAATCCAAAACGATTCGTACTTTTTCGATTAGACGTCTCAATCAAAAGTTATGGGCGAAAAACCAATTTCGGCAAAAAACTCAAAGGGCTGTAACTTTTGATCTAGTAGCCCGATCTTGGAACTGTTTGAAATTATGGATTTTACAGGCCACATTCTATAAGAAAATATTTTTTTCCGGTCGAAGTGAGACAATTTTTTTTTTGGGGCCAAAAAAAAAGGCAGTGTATAACCTTCCTTTTTTACCAAAAATCGATTGCACCAAAATTTCTTGGGAAAACACTATAACTTACATTTCTTCGGCAGTCTCTTTCGGTCGTATTTATCAATACGATCTCACCATGCCGTTTGGGCCCACCAACGCTCCCCAAGGCTAACTTCGGCAGTAGAGGCCATTGCGAACTATAATTCGAATGCATAAACGTAACTATAACTTCCTTGGCCATGGAAATAGCATTGCACGTGTCGTTCCAATTACGCTGCAAGCTGGCATTCTCGAACGTTCAAAACGCAAGGGCGAGGAATTTCGCTTTTGGCGCGTCAGCCTTGATAAAGTACTTCAATCCAATTTTATTGTCTATTAACGGAACCGATTCGTTGTTTAATTGCCAATTTAATTAGACTAACGTCATTCCAACGCCACCTTAGTTGACAACATGAATCCCTTATGGATGAGCGCGTTTAGTTTCTGCCTTACGATTTGCGCAACTGTAATCGTGGTCAAACGGTAACTTGTGGAGGGTTCTTGGACTGCTCAACGAACATTTTGATTTGTTGCAGGAACTCTTACAGTCGAAGAAGTTTACCGAGACCGAGACCAATTCGCTGCCCTTGTTCGCGAAGTTGCTGCGCCGGATGTAGGCCGCATGGGTATTGAGATCCTCTCGTTTACGATCAAGGACGTCTACGATGAAGTCGAGTACCTCTCCTCCTTGGGCAAGGCGCAGACGGCGATGGTCAAGCGCGATGCCGACGCCGGCGTAGCCGAGGCCAACCGCGACGCCGGAATTAGGGTACCGAGACCGTTATTGTTCTCCGATACCTCGCTAACACCGATCTTGTTTAGGAAGCCGAGTGCCAGAAGCAGGCGATGGACGTCAAGTACTCGACGGACACGAAGATCGAGGACAACGCGAGAATGTTCAAGCTGCAGAAGGCGAACTTCGACCAGGAGATCAATACGGCGAAGGCCGAGTCGCAGCTCGCCTACGAGCTGCAGGCGGCGAAGATTCGGCAGAAGATACGTAACGAGGAGATACAGATCGACGTCGTCGAGAGGAAGAAGCAGATCGAGGTCGAGGCCCAGGAGGTTATGCGAAAGGAGCTCGAGCTGAACGCGACCGTGCGACTTCCGGCTGAAGCGGAGAGTTATCGTCTTCAAATGATTGCTGAAGGAAAAAGGTCTGTACTGATAGTCTTTGGATCTCGTGGATATTATGGACCTTGTGAATCTTATAGATCTTATGTATCTTGTGGATAGTATAGATATTATGGATTTCATTATTAATCTTATAGATCTTAGGAACCTTTGACCTTTGACATTCTTTTTGAATCCTATAGTTCCCGTGAATCATCTAAAACTCATAAAATCTTGTGAGTTTTATGAGCTTATGAGTCTTATGGACTTATGAATCCTACAAACCGTTCGAATCTTCTGAGTTTTGACCTATGACTTTTATAAGTCTCATGAATATTGCGGATCCTATAAGTCCTATGACTTCTTTGACCTGTGAGTCTTATGAGTTTCAAGAATCTTATTAGTTTAAGTTTCATGAATCTTATTAGTACTATAAGCTTATCCTTTGAATTGGGTTTAATGATCTGAAGAGTCTTATCCGTTTGTATGTCTTATGAGTCTTGTGAGTATAATGGATCTTATGAGTTCTATCAACTTACAACTAGAAACATTGTGTTTTCTATGAATTGAGTTTTAGTTTCTTAAATCTCATTCGTAATTAGCCTTATGAAGTGAGGCCGAAGAGTTTCAATGGAGCCATAAGTCCTATTAACCTTTTCTTGGGAATCTTGCGAGTCTTATGAATTTCATGTATCTTATGAATAAGTCTTATGAGTTTATAAATCCTGTGAGTTTTATGACCTTATGAGTGTTCTGAATATGATTTTTTTTATTTTGACTTATGGGTTTCAAGAGTATGTACATCTTATGAGTCTTATATGTTTTATTAGTCATGTAAGCTTATGTGAATTTGAAGTAAGTACCTTATGAGTCATATAAGTACTAAAGGTCCTATGAGCTATGGGTTGTATGAGTTTTGCAAGTCTTTTGAATGTTGTAACTCTTACGAGTCTTATCGAGTCTCGTGAGTCCCGAAGTTTTACTAGTTTTGTAGGTTCTGAGAGTTTTGCGAATCCTGGGAATCCTTGTAGTCTTCTACACTTCTTTTGTCTTGTCAACCATTGGATCTTACGTCCTATGAATCTTATGGAACTTATCAATCTTTTAAATTTTACGATCTTTTGGTTTTATGGCCCGTGTGTCATATGAATTCGAAGAATAGTTTAATAAGTCTCACTGGCATGAATTAGTCCCTTAATCTTATAACTCCTTTGAATTTTATGATTCATAAGTTAAGTATGACAAGTCTGATGAGTCTCATGAGTCTTTAGTGAGTTCTATATGAATCTTATGAGTCCTTAGTCTTCAAAATCTTGTCTTATGATTGCTGTGATTCTTATGACTTTTATATAGTCTTCTAACTTCTGAGACGTTTGTGTCTTATGAGTCCATATTATGAATCTGACGGGACCAGATCTTGAAATTCACAAGAGGCATGCGGGTTCGGAGTGCGATTGGTTTTTATCTGCTTATTTATGAGCCCTTTCTTGAGAGACTTATGAGTCATGTACCTTTCATGAGTTGTATGGATTTTTTTAACCTTATGAGTTTTATGCATATCATTATTAGGCTCGTGAGACTCATAAGCTTAATGAGTCGTGAGTTTTTTGTGTCTTATAATCTACTAGGGTCATGTGGGTATTTTGCGTCTTATGCGCCTTGTCGTATAAGTTTTGAATCATATGAGTTTAAGACCTTACCAGTCTTCTAAATCTCATCTTTTCTTGTAGGTGTTGTCTTATGACCTTATTGGCTTTTTAAATCTTATATTTTTTTTGTGTTTTGTGAATTTTATTCTTATATCTGTACGAGTATTATGGATCTTATGAGTCATATAAGTGGGAGTGGCTTAAGAGGCGTTTTTTTGTGAGTCAAATACTCAAATCCTAGTACCCCGTGAATCATAAGCGCCTTGAGTGCTATGATCCTTATGAGTTGTAGTATTTATGAGTCTTTTTGAGACCTATATATGGGTCTATTAAGCTTTGTAGTTCTTTTTTAGTCTAATGAACTATGAGTGTTATTTTATTACTATACTTATGAGTCATATGATCAGGGTTTTCTGAGCCCTTTGAGCCTTATGAACGAATCTCAATACTCTTGTGGGTCTTATCAATTTTCAGAATCTTTTGAGCTTCCTACGACCTTTGAGTTTTACAAATCTGACCTTGTGAGTCTTATGGGTTTCAATTAGTGTAAGCATTGCGAGCCTTATGAGTCTTATTAGTTCTATAAGCCTGTAAGTCTTATGAGTCCAATGAATCTAGTGAGCTTACGAGTTATATGAGTCGAATTCTATGGGTCTGATGAGCCCATGAGTCGTTGTGAGTCATTTTTCAAATGTACTATTTTCGTGTGTGATTTTGTGGCTTTATTTTTACAATTTTCTCCAGAACGCAGACGATCCAAGCCGCGCTCGCCGACAGCGACCGCACGAAGAAGATCGGCGAGTCCGAAGCCGCCGCGATCGGATCCATCGGTAAGGCAGAGGCCGAACGCATGCGACAAAAGGCCGCCGTCTACAAGCAGTACGGCGACGCCGCCATCATGTCGCTCGTCCTCGAGGCGCTGCCCAAGATCGCCGCCGAGGTCGCCGCGCCACTCGCCAAGACCGAGGAGATCGTCCTGGTCGGCGGATCGGACGGCGCGACCGCCGAAATTTCGAGGCTCGTCAGTCAGATACCGCCCGCCGTCAACGCGCTCACCGGCGTCGACCTCTCGAAGGTTCTGAGCAAGATACCCGGCGCGACGACCAGCATGCAAACCGCCGCCGTTAAGTAAACTCCAGAACGACGAGCCTCGGCACCAAACCGACCATCCATTTTATTGTTAAAGAGAAATTTGGTGCCCGCGCTTTTTAAATTTATCTCAGCCATTTAATGTTCTTTCTTTTAAACCTAATTCCGTTACAGTCCCTTAGAAGCGTTTAGCAGGGGTGAGGGGGGACAAAAACCACGTAGCACAAACTAGGCAGTCCTAGGTTTCTCTCAGGTGTTTTGAATCGTGAACCAAAAAAAAAAATGAATAGCATAGTCTTTTTCGGGATTGTTTTTTATTTCTTAGGGTAAGTTTTATTGAACCAATGTGCGGTTGCCAAATTTTCCTATTAGATCCGTTGATTAAAACGTGCGCTTCAATTCGCTATTACGAAGGACTATGTGAGAGATTTTCTTGCCGAATTTAAACCGGAATTTCCTAGTTTAAACCTGAATTTCCAAGTTTAAACCGAAATTCTTCCGGTCGAAAACCGAAATTTCGGAATTCAAACCGAAATTTCCGAGTTTGAGGCGGAATTTTCCACGCCTTCGCGCCAAACCGGCTGGCAACTCGCAAACAGTAGGTAGATACTTCTGCACAATTCTCAGTTATATACAAATTTGATTTTAACTTTAGCAATACCGCGCGAGTAAGTAGAATTATTGTTATTTACTGTAGGTAAATCGCTTTTGAAAAAGGTGCATGTGTAATATTAGCGTTTAATAACGCAGACGTACCTTAAATGGTGCCCTCGCGCACCTCTTAACGTACGTCGGCGCTAGTCTCAATTTAGGACAGTCAAGAATTCTATTTTTTATTAGGCGCGAATTGGCTGGCCTAACATTATTGACGAAGTAATTTTTGATAAATTCTACATTTCTGCCACTCTGTGTACTTATCATATAAATAATAATAAGAATTATGGTAGTTAGAGGAATTTTTCAGTCTCGCCTTTGTAAAATATACTGCCATATTTTTCATTGTTAAAATCACAAAATAGCGTATAAGGTGGACGACTGAAAAATTATTGTCAGCATCACTGTGGATTTCTGCCTTTGAGGATTTATATTTCAAAAAGTGTTTAAGAGAAAATTTATATAAATATATTTATTAATCGTAGTCCCATGGTGATGTTAAATATATAATAGGTAGATACTCGGTGAGACGGTAGTTTTATCCAAAAATTGTATGTACCTATTTTTCTACTCCGCAAGTTCTGTAAATTAGTTACTGTTTTAAGGGTAGTAAGCGTGTTAGACTTTGTTTTAATGAGGCATCCACAAGTATACGTGCATTTACCAATCTCTGCTTTTATTGAAAGAATCAAATATACTCCAATTGATCATTTTTTTAAATATTCGATAATGTGCATATATGCTTTGGTTGTATACTGTGCGTAGGTACACCACGTTAGATGTGTAATTGTTCTGATAATCACGCCCAAATATGGTATGAGATTCTACTGTGTTTTATTTAATGTAAAACCCCCTTCCAAAAATAGAAGAACAAGAATCTTCGAATCTATTACAACCATTTTTCGATTGGGTATGGTCGCAAGTTTGTCAATTATTTTGACCCCCTAAGTCAGTTTAATACAAAAAATGGGACACCCTGTATTTAATTTAATTTTTTGGATTCAATCTGGTGGCTATTGTAGGGTTGCTTGAAAGTCCTACACACATAATCTATCATAGAAACAACAACGTTTAATGTACAACAAAAATTACAACCTCCGCAACTGAACGTTGCTACGTATTAAAGAGCGAAGTTTCTTAAAAAATACATTTTAAAACGGGAAGGTTAACTTTAGGGGGTTGCATGGAGAATAAACATATTCTATGGTACTATTTAAGTGAAATTCTATGTTGGTGGTATATATGGTAGCGGATACGCATCACACTTCAATTATACGTAAAATCAACACGGCGTTTCCACCACGTGGGGCAAAACAATCATCCCCCACTTCGAACTCGCGCATGCGTTAGATTTGAGTGTCTGCTTCGGTACGACCAGAGAACCATAACCTAGGGGGAAACAACTTTGAATTTTTGGTGTACACCCCTCTGAATTAATTGGAATTAGCCTCAATTAATTAGAATTAACGTGAATTAATTACAATTAATTTGAATTAACATAAATTAATTTGAATTTGAATGTTTGGTGTACACCTAAAATGGTACCTACTTCTACAAATTCGTTTCTAAAAAATCATCGATTCCTGAAAAAATTGCCCTTATAAATTCCCAGAACATTCGCTTCAGAAAATTTTGTTGCGCTTAAAAAATCGCCCTGGGAATGTTTCATCCCTAAAGCCTTGTTCTCGGAAAATTTCTTCTGGGAAAATCCCTATGGAAAAATAGGAAAAATATAGGATTGAAAAGGTTACCTTGGGCATATGCGAACCGGAAAATTCTTTCCTGGAATAATTAATTGTATAAGTAACAAATTTTTGTCCTGGAAATTTAGCCTCGAAAAAATCGCCCTTGGAATATCTGACATTAAAAATACGTCTCGCCCTGGAGAAATTCGCTATGGAAAAACTCTTGTCCTGAAAATTTAAACACGAAAAAATCGTTCTTGGAAAACTTTTCCCTGGAATACTTGCGTTTCTCGAAAATCGCCGATTCCTGTAAAAAATCGCCTTTAGAAATCCCCCGAAAATTCGCTAGGAAAAATCGCTCTCATAAAAAAAGGCTCGTAAAAATCTACCTTCGCTAGAATACTTGCGTGAATAATTCCAGAAAATTGTATGCGTTCTAAAAATCGCTCCTGGAATATTTGACCCCTAAAGAATTGTCTTCCGAAAAAAATATACCAGACAAATTCGCTATGAAAAAATCGCCTTTTTAAAATGCTTCCGTCCAAGACTCAACTCGTAAATTCATACAGGGAATATTCGCCTCTACGAATTTTCCTCTCATAATATTTGCGTGAAAATTTCACCCCTAACAATTTTCGGGAGGGTTCTTCCAGGAAAACTTCTTTCCTAAAAAATTCGCCTACCGAATAAAGTCGTCCTTGGAATATTTGACTCCCAAAAACTACAAGGAAAATTGTTCTGGGAAAATTCGCTATGGAAAAATTCTCTTCCGAAAAATTTACCTACGGAAAATGTAGGCTCCCAAAATTGCCCTTGAAACATTCGTCCAGAAAAGGAAATTCATCTACAGAAAATGTTGAAAAAATCATCTTTCGAATGTTTGGTTCCCAAAAAATCGTCAAAAAGTTCCAAGACTGGACTACTAGATCAAAAGTTATAGCCCTTTGAATTTTTGGTCGAAATTGGTTTCTAGTCTATCACTTTTGATTGAGAGGTCTAATCGAAAAAGTACGACTCGTTTTGGATTCTACGCACCAATAAATTAGTACGAAAAAGTGTTTTCCCGAGAAATTAAGAAAAATTTGCGTTGGCAGTTTATGCCCTGGGATACTCGCTTAAAAAACTCGCCCCGGAAACTTGCGTTGAAAAATTGTCTCCAGAAACGTAAAAAAATCTCCCTTCAAATATTTGACCTACAATAATTGCTTCCAACAAAATAGGCCTTGGAATATTTGGCACTTAAAATCTCGTCTGCGAAAAATTCGCCCTGGGGAAATTCTCTATGGAAAAGTTCTCGTCTTGAAAATTTAAGATTGATTTAATTGCCCTTGCAAAATTTTTCCCTGCTATACTTGTGTAAAAAATTTGTCCCCAGAAAAAATCCGCCGTTGAAATATTTTACTTGCAAACTCTAGTCCTGGTAAAAATTTGCCTTGGAAAAATTCTAGATGGAAACAACTTTGAATGTTTGGTGTACACCCCTCTGTGTTAATTTGAACTAACGTGAATTAATTATAATTAACGAGAATTAATTTCAATTAACGTGAATCAATTTGAATTACCGTGAATTAATTTGAATTTACGTAAATTAATTTGAATTTGTGTTTTTGGTGTACACCAAAAATGGTACTTGTTTCCCCCTAGGAGTAGGCAGATAGAGAGTTTCTTAAAAAATGTAACATTTTAAAACGGGAAGATATTTTAACTTTAGGTGGTTATTAGGGGGTTGCATGGAGAATAAATATATTCTATGGTATTAAGTGAAATTCTATGGTGGTGGTACATATGGTAGCGGATACGCATCACACCTCAATTATACGTAAAATCAACACGGCGTTTTCCCCACGTCAAACTCGGGCTTTATCAGCTGACGCGCATGACAACTATGAGGTTTTTAAAGTGTTATTGGAACAAAGTGTATCTGTAGTTTGAATTAACTCCATAGTCGTCCGGTATTCCTTCTCAATTTTTCCTCCCTTTGTTTATAAATTTCCACACTTCATTTTCGTTTTGATGCTTTGTATTTCTCTTATTTCCTCTTTTTGTAAATATTCTTCATCCTTGTCGCTGATTCCCGCCACGTTCCAGAATCAAATTTTGTTTCCTTTTTTGTCATGTTTTCTTTTTTTCTTCCTTTTTTTGTTTGTTTTTGTTGTCACCTGTTGTTCCTTTGTTAATTGTTTACGTGATCTTCCCCGCCGTCCTCGATTGTGTGTGCTTGTTTAGTTTTTTGTCGATAAATTACCATCTCTTTCGTCCCACTTGAACGATGTATCATTTATCATGAACTTCAATATCCCATTTTTCTTGTATTACCTTTTTCTTTTTCTTCCTTCATGCTTTCTCTGATTTTCTTTTGCACTTCTCTTTCTGTAAACGTCAGGTCGTTATCGATATATACCTTTTTATCTCTTAGGGCTTGTCTGTTCCTCATGATTCCATTTTTTCCCTCTCAATTTGTACATTTTATTAGAATCCCTATTTTTCCTTCTCTATTTTGTATTGTACGGGTTTCTGTAGTAGAAATATTTTTTTTCTTCATCCTTTTCTCTTTTTCGTCTCCATTCTAGTTTGTCTATTCTCTCCTCTAGTTCTCGTTTTTCTTTGTTCCATTTTTCTTCCTTCTCTTGATTTTGCCTCTTCAGTGCCCGCATTTCCTTGTTAAACTCTTCTCTCAATTCCGTTATTTCTTTTCTGACGTCATTTCTCATTTCCATCATACTCTTGTTAGGGGTTATCATCATGTTTTTAATTTCCTCCATGTTTTCTGGTTTTTCTCCTCTTTCTTCCTCTTCTGTCTTTGTTGTGGGCGGTAGATTTTGCTGTTTTCAACGGTCTTAAAACGATTAAGACGATGCCGACCATGGAATTTTAAACCAAACTGAGAGAGAGAAAAAGGAAAGTCAATGGCGGAGGGAGTTTAATTTTTTGACGATCAAAAAAGTTTCAAGACTTTTTATTTCGTGCATTTTGGTAACAATGTTTAACTAAATTAGGAACACATAACTGTTTTCAATCCGAATCCGGGCAGATATTCAAGGAAAACGCATCATGGCACGGCTCCCTATAAGTTAATAGTGTCTAAATACGTGCGAATAGTAATGGGTGCCGTATAGGTTGGTTACATCGAAATATGTGGTGTTTTCTCCGTGACTATCAGTGCCATTAATCCAGGAGCGCAGGATGTCGCTTACTGCTGCTTAAAAGCTATAACAGCGTTAAGAAAAGACAACGACGCTTTGAGAACCTGGAAAATAAAATCCTTAAGATAACCCCCCGAGCACTACACTCACAATAGTGTACAATTCCAAGTCAATGTTGTAAATTTTTCCGACCGTAATCGTTTCGTACTTTTGCGACCGTTGAATTACCATAATAATCTTCTTCTTCACCCATATGGGAGCATCCAACCAAAAGGGCGCGTAGAATATCGAATTTCCAACCGTGAGCGCCTGGAAAACCGTCTGTGATTACGAGTTTTGGGAGTACCTTGTACCTGTGATGTAATTAACGCTCCGGCGAAACAGGAGAGGAACAGTTGTAAGTTGATGCCGATGATGAATACGATGTGCTGGACCGCGAAAGGTATCGACATTGGTAGTCTGCAGTGAGAAGAGAGATGGGGGACCTTACATCGATTTCTCTTCACTTACCCATGCGATATGATCGTGAAAATCGACATGCAAATTCCCATCATTGCGCTTAGAAATTGGTTTAGAAACAATAGCGAGCAGATGGTGTTCAGGTCAGAAATGAAACTACAAAGAAGAGCACGGCATGCTGCTGAGAGGCGAGTTCTGCATAAGTTTACCTGAGCACGTAATCGTGATGTGCGATGATTTCCGACAGCCTCTTAAACCCGTTCTCCAGATCGCTTTCCGTTATCTTCAGATGCTGAAACTGGTACTTGATAATCTTCAGCTCGTTGTAAATGTAGGTGACGATCGAGAAGAATGTTATATCGAATCCGATAATGATGTAGAACAGGTAGAAGATGCTGAGCGTTTCAAAGCCGTATACAATTTGGTAGTAAGGCGTCTGGAAGAGATCGATAAAGTTGTAAACCTGTATCGGAAAAATTCTCGACTTCATTATGAGGGGTTTGAACACCATCGTGATTGCGGAAATGCGGGCGTTGTGGTAGTAGACCTTCAGGACGAAGTGAATTCGTCGTTCGGTGCTGGTGACGTCTTCGCGCAGCTCGTCGTCCAAAGTTGCGAAGTCCTTGAAGCGGGCGAGCTTCTCCAATAACCTCTCTATCTTCGGCCTCGTGATCAAAATGGTGAGCATCTTCGTAAAGCACTGAAAGATAAACTTAAGTCGGCGTACAACACGATTCACCCCCAAACCTGGTGGCAAGACACCAACATCTCCCCGGTGTCTGCGAGCGCATCGATTTCGGTCAACTTGGCAAAAAACTCGATTACGAGCAGAACGTAGTTCAAGCTGAGGATAGAGCTAAGAACAACCGCCCTAATCTTCGTTAACCAATTTTGGTTTCGCGGATCTAATCCGACCACCCCCAACTTCAGCAGGCCGAAATTCAGCGATTTTCTCTCAGACATCTCGGCAGTCTAACGGTCTAATGCGTATACGTCTTCGAGGGAAACATTAATAATCGAGAGTTTCTACCGTTGTTTAACTTGTGAATGTGTAATTAATTCGTTTTAAATTACTTTGACTTGTTTAATATTGACCTGATGGTGACCTCCTTCAAGTTTCAATGAAAGACGAACTTAATTTAGTGCCCCCTGCAATTTGGATTTTTCTGGATTGCGTTCACTTCATTCAAAGAACGTTTTGTTAGAACTATGAAGAACAACAAATAAACGACTTTTGAGGTACGTTGTAGAGTATCTGAAAACCGACAAGTATAAAAATAATTAAACCGAACCTTAAAGGATATTTATAATTACTGGCTCAACGTCAAAATTTCAAAAGATCGAAATTTACCTCCAACACACGGCGTCTAAATCTACCCTCTAGTCGTCCAACTTTGGAAAAACTGGTTCGAGAAATTAGAAATTCATATTGTAGCTCGTAGTGAAAGATTCTGCTTGTAAAAGCTGAAGGACGCCTCGAATTTGAGCAATCCTCATGAACCAATTAGCTCGAAACGTGTTAATTGCACGTGATCTTTACGACGGCTCAAGACCTCTCTCTGCGCGTTCACTAGTCTCCTTTTTTCCCAAGCTGCGTTCTTTTGGAAAATATCGACTTGAGAGAAACTTGAAATAACTAAATCTTGAAATACCAGCCCCTTAAGACACTACCAAGTACCATTTTTGTTGTACACCAAAAATTCAAATTCAATATTCACGTTAATTCAAAATAATTCAACTTATTCAAGCCTACATTTTCCGGAAGCGAATTTTTCCATGAGGAATTTGATGAAAAATTCCAAGGGCGATTTTTTAAGCGCAACCACATTTTCTGGGGATTTATAAGGGCAATTTTTTCAGGTATCGTTTTTTTAGAAACGAATTTGTTTTAAGGGAAACAAGTACCATTTTTGGTGTACGCCAAACATTCAAATTCAAATTAATTTACGTTAATTCATGTTAATTCACGCTAATTCAAATTAATTCAAATTAATTCACGTTAATTGTAATCAATTCACGTTAATTCTAGTTAATTCAGGCTAATTCAAATTAATTTACGTTAATTCAAATTCATTGAGAGGGGTGTACACCAAAAATTCAAAGTTGTTTCCCCCTAGGACATTAAGGCCATGAATGCTTCGAGCGAATTTAAAGGAGTTTCTTGATCTTATGAGTATCCAGTGATATGTTCAGGGGTTTTCTAACCGCTAACCATTTAAAAGGATTTCAAGGCAACATTGCCTTCTGTACTCTCAGTTTTCTGTGTCCTTGATGTCATCAGTGTATTAAGTCCAGTCCTCTTGTGCCCTCAATCTTTTCAGTGCCCTCAGTTATACTCATTACTGTATCCATAGTGACTTCAGTGTCTTTATTGTGTCTGCAGTGTTTTCGGTGTCTTCGATGTCTCCGATGTCTTCAGTGGTTTTCAGTGTTTACAGTGGCGTGTTCATTGGTTTTCAGTGGTCTTCAGCGGTCTTCAGTGTCTGCAGTATCTTCGGTGTCTTTGGTGTCTTCAGTTTTTCGTGTCTTCGGTGTCTTCGGGTCTTCGCTCTTCGGAGTGTTCGGTGTCTTCGATGTCTTTGGTGTCTTCAGTGTTTTCGGCGTCCTCAGGGTCTTCAGTGGTTTTCAGTGGCATCTTCAGTGGTTTTCAGTGGTCTTCAAAAGTCCTTCAGTGTCTTCGGTGCCTTCGTTGTGTTTGGTGTCTCCTATGTCTTTAGTGGTTCAGTAGTTTTCAGTGCTTTCAGTGGTTTTCAGTGGTCTTCAGACATCTGCAGCGGTCTTCAGTGGTCTTCGGTGTCTTCGATGTTTTTAGTGGTTTTCAGTGCTTTCAGTGGTCTTCAGACGTCTTCAGGGGGCTCCAGACGTCTCCAGCGGTCTTCAGACGTCTTCAGTGGTCTTCGGTGTCTTCAATGTCTTCGGTGTCTTCAGTGTCTTCAGTTCCTTCAGTGCTTCAGTGTCTTCAATGTCTTTGGTGTTTTCGGTGTCTTCCATTGTTTTCAGTGTTTTCAGTGGCGGATTTAGCGGTTTTCAGTGGCCTTCAGGCGTCTTCAGCGGTCTTCAGTGGCCTTGAGTGGTCTTTAGTGGTCTTCAGTATCTTCAGCGCCTTCAGTGCTTCGGTGTCTTAAATGTCTTCGGTGTTTTCTGTGTCTTCAGGGTCTTTAGTGGTTTTCAGTGGTCTTCAGATGTCTTCAGCGGTCTTCAGTGGTCTTGAGTGGTCGTCAGGGATCTTCAGCGGTCTTCAGTGCCTTCAGTGCTTCGGTGTCTTAAATGTCTTCGGTGTTTTCTGTGTCTTCAGGGTCTTTAGTGGTTTTCAGTGGCGTTTTCAGTGGTTTTCAGTGATCTTCAGACGTCTTCAGCGGTCTTCAGTGGTCTTGAGTGATCTTAAGCGGTCTTGAGTGGTCCTCAGGGGTCTTCAGTGGCCTTCAGTGCTTCGGTGTCTTAAATGTCTATGGTGTCTTCGGTGTTTTGTATCTTCAGGGTCTTTAGTGGTTTTCAGTATTTTCAGTGGCGTTTTCAGTGGTTTTCAATGGTCTCCTGCGGTCTTCAGTGGTCTTGAGTGGTATAGAGTGGTCTTGAGTGGTCTTCAGGGGTCTTCAGTGGTCTTCAGTGTCTTCAGTGGTCGTCAGTGGTCTTCGGTGTGTTTCGTGTCTTCGGTGTCTCCGATGTCTTCAGTGGTTTTCAGTACTTTCAGTGGCGTTTTCAGTAGTTCTCAGTGGTCTTCAGTGGCCTTGAGTGGTATAGAGTGGTCTTCAGCGGTCGTCAGTGGTCTTGAGTGGCCTTCAGTGGTCGTAGGTGGTCTTCAGTGTCTTCGGTGTGTTTCGTATCTTCGGTGTCTCCGATGTCTTCAGTGGTTTTCAGTATTTACAGTGGCGTCTTCATTGGTCTTCGGTGTCTTCCGTGCCTCCAGTATCTCAATCGTGTTCAGTCCCTCCAACGTCTGCAATCTTTTTATTGTTTTCAGTATTTTTAGTGTCCGCAATGTTTTCATTGTCCTCTGTGCCCTCAGTGCCGTCCGCGTCTTCAACGTCGGCACTGTCTCCAGCGTCTTCAGCGCCATCAGTGTTTTCAGCGGTCTTAGTCTCTCCAGTGCTACCAGTGTAGTGAGTGCTTCTGGCAGTTTATATGGTTAGTATCCCTGGTGCCTCCAGTATCCTTATTGTCCCCAGTTGTCTTAAGGTCCTTACTGTCGTCCTTGTCCTCAGCTTCCACAATGATGTCCGTGTCTTTTGTGTTCACAGTATCTTCAATGATACCATTCTCCTCATAGTCGCCAGTGCCTCCAGTGTCCTTAGTTGTTCAATGTCATCACTGTTCTCAGTGTGCTTAGTGTCTTCGTTGTGTTGTTAGTGTTATTAGGCGTTTTTGTTGTGTTCAGTGTTCCCAGTGTCCTCCGTGTCATTGTACCAGCTTCTTTACTGTCGTCAATGGTGATTTTTCTCCTCAGCGCCCTCAATTTTCTTATTATCCTTCCCTGTCGTCATTGTCCTCAATTTTTTAATTCTCCTGATTGCTCTTAATGTACTCATTGTCCCTGCTATCTTCTAGTGCCTTTGGACTCTGCGGGATTACTAATCCATTCAGGACTTTTATGAGCTTCCGAGTCTTTTCACGGTCTTCATATTATTCAAGATCTTCTAAACATTCAACACCTTTCGGTTTACCAAAATCTGCAGCTTTTCCTGGGTCGCCATTCTGCAGACCTTTCCACTTCTCCATTTTTCTGGAACCTTCTAGGAAAGTTTAATAAATTCAGGATTTTCAGTGACTTGTCTTCAAAGTTTCAGTTTTAATAATCTTCCTGACTCTAGAATCGTCATGGACGCCTCCTGTTCTAGTCTTCACCTTTCAGGTTCCTCATTCTCAGCGTATTTGAATCCTTTTGGGCGTCCATCGCTTTAAAGGCATTTGGATGGGCCCAAGGTCTCAACACTTTCAGAATCGTAATCGAGGTCGACTGTCTTCAGTATCTTCCGTGTTCTTGGAGCAGTCAAATGCTTGAATCAAACTGTTGATCTTTGAAGCTTGAGTTATGAATTTTAATTGCAGAATCCCGATCTTCGGACCCTACCAGTATTTGGAATTTTCCAAACATCTTATGTCTCGAGGACATCGAAGGTTTTCCGGGGCTATGGCGTTTGGATTTTCAAAAGGTTTTCAGAGACTTATCAACCTCTTCCCAGCGTATCAAGAATCTTCAAAAATTTCCGATTATTTAAGTCTTCCAGGTCTCGAGGTCTCCCTTTGGACGTTTCGTATTTCGATGCACTTTAGAGGCAAGAGTCCAGTCTATCGTTTTGAACATCTTACTAGACACTTCCAGAGCTCATTTGATTTTTGAAGAGGAGCTCGAGAAAGCGAGATTTTTACGGTTTTAGGCATAGCTTTCTAATAGATTTTCAGAACGATGTCTACGAGCTCTAAATCCTCCTCCCTAAGGGGAGACTGAAGATCCGAAATTCAAAATTCTGAACTTAGTATTTGAGAAGGGTAAACAATATTTGTGTAATAATGACACCATTATAGTTTTGCAATTTTCCTGCAATTGCTGGGACTATTATTATCAGTTCAATTACAGCATAAGTGTTGTAACGGCATGCTCTTCATTATTTTTACACCTTGCTGATAACCGTGACACTCCCATAGCTTGAGTATAAAGCGAAAGCGATGCGTTCCCAGATTTATTTGCTCAAAATGTACGGAAAACTGCTCATTTTCGCCTGCGCGCTTCACGTGTGGGCTGCTGAACCAGACCTGGACTGGTGGAAGAGTGCCGTTTTTTACCAAATTTACCCACGCTCATTTAAGGTAGGTGGCCTGGACCTTCTCCCGACTCCAAAATGTTTCGTAGGACTCGGACAATGACGGCGTGGGCGACCTGAAGGGTATTCAGAGTAAATTGGATCACTTGGTGGACGCCGGCGTCACGGCGCTGTGGCTGTCGCCGATCTACAGGTCGCCTCAGATCGATCAGGGTTACGACATTAGCGACTTTAGGGATGTCGATCCGTTATTCGGAACCTTGGCCGACTTTAAGGAGTTGCTCGCGTCGGCTCACCAGAAAGGTATGTCCGAAGGTCACGGCCCAGAGTGACGAGTCTTGTTTTAGGGTTGAAGGTCATTTTGGATTTTGTTCCGAACCACTCCAGCGACAAGCACGATTGGTTCTCCAAGTCGGAGTCGGGCGATGAGCAGTACGCAGATTACTACGTGTGGCGAGAGGGACGGAACGGGAATCGGGACCCACCGAATAATTGGGTAACAAGCGGGAATCGCAATCGGTCCCGGATAACGGCCGGCTTTCCAGATCAGCTACTTCCACGGGCCCGCGTGGAAGTTCAGCGAGGCACGTCAGTTGTGGTACCTCCACCAGTTCGCCGAGGGCCAACCAGACTTAAACTATCGCAACCCGAAACTCGTTCAGGAGATGAAGGACGTTCTTACATACTGGCTGGATGCGGGCGTCGACGGATTTAGGGTCGACATAATATCGGCCCTCTTCGAAGACGAGCAGTTTCGGGATGAGGAACCGTCTAACATCCCAGGTGTTAGTGACACCGATCGGGAGTACCTGATCCACACCTACACTGACGATCAACCCGAGAATTACGACATGGTGTACCAATGGAGGGAGCTACTCGATGAGTATCAACGTCAACATGGAGGAGACACGAGGTAAGCTGCGGTTATTGCTACGAGCACCCACCGGTGGCGTTTTAGGGTGATGATGACGGAATCGTACGCACCCTTGGGCAAGCTTTTCGGGTACTATGGCAACGAGATACGTGACGGTGCTCATTTCTCGTTCAATTTTTGGTTCATTACTGAGCTCAATGGGCAATCAACCGCCCACGCCATCAAATTCGTGATCGACAAGTGGTTCACGTACATGCCATGGCGGTACACGGCGAACTGGGTGGTAAGTTCTCCTCGAGCACCCCAAGTACCTACCCTTCACACGTCTCCCTCAGCTAGGAAACCACGACCAACACCGCGTGGCCACCAGATACGGCACGAAACGGGTCGATGGTCTCTGCATGCTCTCCATGCTACTGCCGGGAGTGGCGGTCACCTACAACGGCGAGGAAATAGGAATGGAAGACGGCGAGGTGACGTGGACGCAGGCGAAGGACCCCCAGGCCTGCAACGACGTCGAAGCGAACTTTAAGAAAAACAGTCGCGATTTTCAACGCACCCCCTTCCAATGGGACGACAGCGTCAACGCCGGTTTCAACGCCGGGGGCGACACCTGGTTACCCGTCGGTTCCACGTACCTAACGGCGAACCTTGCCGCGGAAAAGGCCGACCCCAAGAGTCACTACAGCGTTTACCAGAACGTGGTGAAACTACGTAAGAGCGACACCCTGAAACATGGCGATTTCTCGACGGTGGCTTTCAGCGACAGCGTTTTCGGATTGATAAGGTGGTGAAGGTTGGTAGGGGCGGTTTTACTGGCTTTGTCTATTTGCAGATCTTTGAAAGGCAATGAGACTTACGTTCTCGTTGTGAATATCGGCGGCCAATCGCAGACCGCCGACTTGCGGTACTTGGGTCGCCTGCCCGACAAGCTGAAGGTGGTCTTAGTGAGCCAGTCCACGAGGAAAGTTGGGTAAGGCGATCGTATTTTCAAGGCCCTTTCTTAACCTCACTGTTTCAGTGATATGGTACCTACCGGCGTCGTTTCCTTAGGCGCTTACGAATCAGTGATATTATCATCTTAAAAAAATGCTAATAAATTAATTTTGTGTTGAGTACAATTAAGTTTGAGTAAAGGAGGGAAAGAACACAACAAGAAACCATAACCCTTTTTCACAATAGACTTAAAGAGAACACTGGATGATACCGTCGTAATCCAATAAGCGAGAAGGTGTCATAAATAAATTTAAAGCCTCTATCAGGTCTCTTAACAGAGCCGCCTCAAAATTATGGTAACTTCATATCAGGGGGTCCGTTAACTTGCCCCCCCCCCCCACTGAGAGATTTGATAGTTGTATTATTTTGAAATGCGCTCATTATGCGCTCATATGCGCCACCGATAATAACTCTTGCGCCATTATCGTTTTTTAGAAATCCGAAATTTGGGGGGGAGGGGCCAAGTGAACGTATCCCCCCCCCCCCCAGTACGTATTTTGTCCCTTGTAACTAGGTCACCTGATACATTTGATTATGCGCTCAATTGCGCCACTTGAATTGAAGCTAGCGCCATTACGGTTAAGCCGTGACAAATTTTCAAAAAGTGGGGGGGCCAACTTAACGTTTTTAAAAGTTACTTTTTTTTAAACATCTTTTCATACGAAATTGTACTCTCATGTATGCGCTGAAATGCGCCGTAAAAAGATATCTTTGCGCCATTATTGTTTTTTGGTTATCCTTAAATATATTTGGGGGGGCCAAGTGAACGGAATCCCCCATAACGCATTTTGCTACCGGTATTTGTGCCACTCGATACATCTGGTTATGCGCTCAATTGCGCCACTTGAATTAAAGCTAGCGCCATTACGATTAAGCCATAAAAAATTTTTAAAAAGGGGGGGGGCTAACTTAACGTTTTCAAAAGTTACGTTTTTTAACATGTTTTTTCTACTACATCGTACCTTTCATCATGCGCTAAAATGCGCCGTAAACAAAAATCTTGGCGCCATTATAGTGTTTCAGAAACACTATACAGGGTGTTTTTTGGGGAGCTTTAGTTAAACGATTCTGAGAAAGTAAAATAGGTAGGTTTTTAAAAATTTGTATTTAGGAGTTACTCCGAAGGCCGAATCGATGTAAAATATTTTCAAAATGGACGCACTTCCGGAAATAACTTTTGAAAACGCTAAGTTAGACCCTCCATTTTTTTAAAATTTTTTATGGCTTAACCGTAATGGCGCTAGCTTTAATTCAAGTGGCGCAATTGAGCTCATAACCAGATGTATCAAGTGGCACAAATACCGGTAGCAAAATGCGTTTTGGGGGATTCCGTTCACTTGCCCCCCCCCCCTTCCCCCCCAAATATATTTAAGGATATCCAAAAAACAATAATGGCGCAAAGATATCTTTTTACGGCGCATTTCAGCGCATACCTGAGAGTACAATTTCGTATGAAAAGGTGTTAAAAAAAAGTAACTTTAAAAAACGTTAAGTTGGCCCCCCCCACTTTTTCAAAATTTGTCACGGCTTAACCGTAATGGCGCTAGCTTTAATTCAAGTGGCGCAATTGAGCGCATAACCAAATGTATCAGGTGACCTAGTTACAAGGGACAAAATACGTACTGGGGGGGCTACGTTCACTTGGCCCCCCCCAAATGTTTTTTCGGATTTCTAAAAAACGATAATGGCGCAAGAGTTATTATCGGTGGCGCATATGAGCGCATAACGAGCGCATTCATTTCAAAATAATACGACTATGAAATCTCTCAGTGGGGGGGGGGGGGCCAAGTTAACGGACCCCACATATCAGGCTCGAGAGCTGATAGAAAACAGAAAGCTCTACAAAGACATGGAAGGCTTTCGATTAAGGCCCTTCAAATACCCTCTAAGCATTTACCAGACCTGAATCGTTAGGTATTTTTAGAATATTCAGAAAGGATGTGGTTTTCAGCATCTTCAAATCCTTAAAAACATAGAGGACCTGCAGGATTCAATAGCTACAGAATTGTTTCCTAAAGGACCCTATAATTCAGTCATTTGAGAATCTGGAGGGCGGTCCGAAGAAAAAACTTTTCACAGCCATAGGAACATCTAAAATCCCAGAAATCTCTAATATTTGGGTTCGAGTTTTTAAATTATTCACAACCAGAGTACACTCAGCACCTTTAGAAACTGTGCGGACTTTCGGGATATTTAAGTCACAAAGCGTTTCCATAGTTCTTTTGATTTTTGGAACCTTCTGAACATTCAGAATTTTTAGAAACCACTTGTCCATCAAGATCTTCAATACCTCCCAAACTTTCAGTTGGTTTTGCGCCCCTGGCAAGAGCTGCGCCTTATTCCACTATGCACTGGATTTCCGAAAAAGTATTACGTAGAACCTGGGGGGATATGGGTATGGAATATCCCCCAGCAAAAGGAGAATTGATGACAACTGTAGTGGTAGTTTTTGGGAAAAGTTGATTCCGTCATGTGTGCTGGGGGCAAACCCCCGGTAACGCTTTCCCACACAAAACGTTTATGCCTCAAGAGTTTTTGGGAAGATTATCAGATCACCCTCTTGCGGGGTGGGCTGGGGCAGAGCTGGGTCGAGCGTTCTAAAAAAACCGCTCGCTTCTCAAAAATCCTCACGAGCATCGACCTGTTTTGCAAAGCGAAACCGCTTGCGAGTTCCGAGCACTCCTAAAAGTGTTCGAGCGGTGTAGGGCGAGCGCTCGGGAAAAGTCGTGAGCGGAAAAAACGCTCGCGAGCGGAAAAACCGCTCGTGGGGAGACAAAAGCGCACCAAGAGGCCGCTCCGAAAAGTGCTCGAGCTTTTTCCGCTTGGAGCGCTTTTTCGAGCGATACGCTCGCGAGTAGTACCCAGGTCTGAGCTGGGGGGTATAGAAAAGTAATTAATTCCTTTCGTATGCTGGGGGGTATTGATACCCTCCAGGCTCCCTGGTAATTTCATAACATTTTTTGGGAAGCTTCAAAGAAGTATTACGTGGAAACGTAGCACCGGTAGGCCTGGGAGAGTACGGAATACCTCCATCAAATGGAGAATTGGTGACAACTGTCGCGGTAGATTTTGGCAAAAAGTAATTGTTTTCTTCTATGTTGTGCTGGGGGGATTTTTCAGGCCCCCGGTAACGCTTTCCCCCACAATACCTTTAGCTCTCAAGAATGTCATAATAGTTTTTCGGAAGATTATCAGATCCCCTTCTTTAAAAAAGTTTTTCTGGGGGTTATAGGATACCTTCCAGGAAAGGGAGAATTTATAAAAATCTCATGGGAGTTTTTGGCAAAAATTAGTTAATTCCTTCCGTGTGTTTGGGGGGGGGGGCATACCCCCAGACACGACACGACACGAAAAAAACACTTTCCCCCACTAAACGTTTAGCTCTAAAATTTCGTAATAGTTTCTGGGAAGATTATCAGATCCCCTTCTTCAACGAAGTATTTCTGAATACATGAGTCGTACTTTTTCGATTAGAGCTCTCAATCAAAAGTTATAGCCTAGAAACCAATTTCGACCAAAAATTCAAAAGGCTATAACTTTTGATCTAGTAGTCCAATCTTGGAACTGTTTGAAATTATGGATTCTACAGGTCAAATTCTATCAGAAAAACTTTTTTCCCGGTCGATCTGAGACAATTTTTTTTCAGGACTCAAAAAAAAGGCAGTGTATACACTTCCTTTTTTACCAAAAACGACTGCACCAAAATTTCTCGGGAAAACACTTTTTCGTACTAATTTTGGTGCGTAGAATCCAAAACGAGTCGTACTTTTTCGATTAGACCTCTCAATCAAAAGTTGTAGACTAGAAACCAATTTCGACCAAAAATTCAAAGGGCTATAACTTTTGATCTAGTAGTCCAATCTTGGAACTGTTTGAAATTATGGTTTCTACAGGCCAAATTCTATCAGAAAAACTTTTTTCCCGGTCGATCTGAGACAATTTTTTTTCAGGACTCAAAAAAAAGGCAGTGTATACACTTCCTTTTTTACCAAAAACGACTGCACCAAAATTTCTCGGGAAAACACTTTTTCGTACTAATTTTGGTGCGTAGAATCCAAAACGAGTCGTACTTTTTCGATTAGACCTCTCAATCAAAAGTTATAGCCTAGAAACCAATTTCGACCAAAAATTCAAAAGGCTATAACTTTTGATCTAGTAGTCCAATCTTGGAACTGTTTGAAATTATGGTTTCTACAGGCCAAATTCTATCAGAAAAACTTTTTTCCCGGTCGATCTGAGACAATTTTTTTTCAGGCCTCAAAAAAAAGGCAGTGTATACACTTCCTTTTTTACCAAAAACGACTGCACCCAAATTTCTCGGGAAAACACTTTTTCGTACTAATTTTGGTGCGTAGAATCCAAAACGAGTCGTACTTTTTCGATCAGA